TTCCTCCGCTACCCAGGGCCGCGTGCAGGGCACACACTAGCCTCACTGGAGAGACGGGAGACCTGAGGCTCAGAGCAGTGCAGTGACTTGCCTAAGGTCACACAGCCGACAGGTGGCGGGGCCGTCCGAGGCGCTGGTCCTGCCGGCACTCTCCAGTCTCCGCATCACACATCAGCTCTTAGCAAAACAAACGGTCCTCGGTCGGGCGGTCCTGGGCATCAGAGGACGTTGAGAAGCATTGCGGGCCTCTACCCACTAGGTGGCAGTAGCACCGCATGAAAACCGGCTAAACTTTGCGAGCGTCGCCCTGGCTGGGAGACACCGCCTGGGTCGGTCCTCCGCCGAGCCGCCGGGCTGGGGTATGCCTGTCACCATCGCACTCCCGCTTCCTGCCCTGCGGAGGCTCGCAGCGGCCCCAGGAGGGAGTCCAGCACCCCGACGAAGATGGACCAGGCCCTTCAGGTTCTGGGCCCCGCCGGCCTCTCCAGTCACTCTGTCCCCCTCCTTCCCGCCTCCCCCTTTGCTCTAGTTCTGCACCCCTGCTCGTAGGGCTCTCCTGCACAGCCATGCTAGGCTGTGGCCCCAGCCGGGCCGTTTTCTCTGCGTGCGGGGTCCTCGCCTCGGGGGTTGAGCTCCCAAATCCTACCCAACCTTCGAGACTCGGCTTGGTGTGGGCATCACCTGGAAGCTTACCCGAAGCCTTTTCCCTTCCCGCTCCACGCCCTCCGCTCCCCGGCTCCGCCCGGACTGAAGGCCCAGTCGAGCCCCGCCCTCCTGCTCCCGCACCTTCCGCAAACTTCGGTTCCTAGCACTCCTCACCCCAACCCGTCGTTAATTGTTTCACCCCTACTGTGAGCTCCAGAAGGGCGAGGCTAGGTCTTACTCAAATCTGAGGCACAGTGCCTGGCGTGTAGCTTTTTTTTTTTTTTTTTTTAGATTTATTTGTTTGTTTATTTGAGAGAGAGAGAGAGCACACAAGCAGCGGGAGAGGGAGGAGAAGCCGGCCTCAGGTCCCCGGGATCATGAACTGAGCTGAAGGCGGACACTTAACCGACTGAGCCACCCAGGCGCCCCCCCCCCAACCTTTTTCAAAGTCTTTTCCTATTGACTATTTCACTGGACCCTAGAAATAACTACAGCAGCCTGGTAGATGTCATTCCAAACAAGAACCATTCTTGCAAACAAGTGACATAAACTGTATCGCATGTTACCTTTAGGGAAGACAGAACATGTGTTTGTGTTTATACACACACACAAAGAGCCCCTTCGGGTGGTGTGACAATGGGGAGGTGCTGGGCAGGGGATTAGAGCAAGTCTTTTCACTCAATACCTTATATTGTTAGATGTTTGAGCTATGTGAACACAGTATTTAAAAAATTAAAGGTAGTCCCACCTCGGGCTCCCTGCTCCGCGGGAAGCCTGCTTCTCCCTCTCCCGCTCCCCCTGCTTGTGTTCCCTCTCTCGCTGTGTCTCTCTGTCAAATAAATAAATAAAATCTAGGGCGCCTGGGTGGCTCAGTTGGTTAAGTGACTGCCTTCGGCTCAGGTCATGATCCTGGAGTCCCGGGATCGAGTCCCACATCGGGCTCCCTGCCCAGCAGGGAGTCTGCTTCTCCCTCTGACCCTCTTCCCTCTCGTGCTCTCTATCTCTCATTCTCTCTCAAATAAATAAATAAAATCTTAAAAAAAAAAAAAAAGCGTCTGCCTTCGGCTCAGGTCATGATCCCAGGGTCCTGGGATCGAGCCCCACATCGGGCTCCCTGCTCGGCGGGAAGCCTGCTTCTCCCTCTCCCACTCCCCCTGCTTGTGTTCCTGCTCTCGCTATCTCTCTCTCTGTCAAATAAATAAATAAATAAATAAATAAAATCTTAAAAAAATAAAAAATTAAAGATAGTGAATAAAACCAAGTGAATGGCATTGTTTCCCAAGCATCACTTCAATCTTTTTTCCCCAAAGATATATTTATTGGGGGGGGGGGACAATGAGAGGAGAGAGAATCTCCAGCAGACTCCCCACTGAGTGCAGAGCCCGATGCGGGGCTCGTTCCCAAGTCCCTGAGATCAGGACCTGAGCCGCAATCAAGAGTTGGGAGGCTCAGCCGACTGGGCCTCCCAGGCACCCCACATCATTTCAATCTTAAGAGCAATCGAGGGTAGGGCGCCTGGGTGGCTCAGTTGGTTAAGCGACTGCCTTTGGCTCAGGTCATGGTCCTGGAGTCCCAGGATCGAGTCCCACATCGGGCTCCCTGCTCAGCAGGGAGTCTGCTTCTCCCTCTGACCCTCTTCCCTCTCGTGCTATCTCTCATTCTCTCTCTCTCGATTAAATGAATAAAATCTTAAAAAAAAAAAAAAGAGCAATCGAGGGCTCCTGGGTGGCTCAGTCGTTAAGCATTTGCCTTCCGCTCAGGTCATGATCCCAGGGTCCTGGGATCGAGCCCCGCATCGGGCTCCCTGCTCAGCAGGGAGTCTGCTTCTCCCTCTGCCTCTCCCCCCTGCTTGTGATCTCTCTCTCTCTCTCAAATAAATAAAATCTTAAAAAAAAAAAAAAAAAGGAGAGAGTAAGCTACCTATGGATCAGGGGTGGGTGGGAGGGGGGTCCGTGGCCAGACCACCTCTGTCAGAGCTGCTGTAAGAAAACGCTTCTGGGCTGATTGCACTTGCAAAAAATCCAGAGAAATGCAGGCTACAAACCACCACTATAATCTTCTAGCTGGTGTTTTCATCTGGTTCACTCGCTGGCAGCGGAGTATAATAAGGAGGCTAAATTTCATAGCAGGTGCCACAGAAAAGGGAGGTGAAGTGTTCGGACCCCAATGCTGAGCCTGACAACTGATTGCTACCTGTCATGTTGTGGCCCTTCACTAGACAGGCCTGAATCCATCTAAGGACATATGCTCAGTGGATGACCCCTGCCTAGAGGCACGGTAGACAGGTGACAGACCTAAAACTCCACAGACTTAGTAGATCAGTTGTCCACAGCCCTATCTATACCACCTGCCCTCTCCCTTCCCCAAGCTAGTTCTTGTAACCGTCAACCAAGTGAAGCCTGTGCACAGCTAAGTGCAGACCAGAGTTGTGTGAAGTTTGTCATGACCATGGCTCTCCTTCAACAGTGTCATCACAGGATGGCACGACAGAGGGTAATGCTCCACGTGTGACCGCCGCGTCCCTCCTCTCGTAGGCCCTGCCCTGCGGCCTGAGTTCAGTGGAAAGCACCCAGCACGGGTGACTTAAGGACACCAGTACATCAAATGTTAAAAGGGTCAAAGACGGGAGATGAAAAACAATTTAGTTTTCTCACCTGGAGGGCCTGTGGTCACCTGGGGGACTGGTCTACACACACAGGGGATTACCATATTTCGAGGAGTCACACCTTCTTTTTTTTTTTTAAAGATTTATTTATTGGGCGCCTGGGTGGCTCAGTTGGTTAAGCGACTGCCTTCGGCTCAGGTCATGATCCTGGAGTCCCGGGATCGAGTCCTGCATCAGGCTCCCTGCTCAGTGGGGAGTCTGCTTCTCCCTCTGACCCTCCCCCCCTCATGTGCTCTCTCTCATTCTCGCTCTCTCAAAAAAATACATCTTTAAAAAAAATAAAGATGTATTTATTTATTTGACAGAGAGAGACACAGCGAGAGAGGGAACACAAGCAGGGGGAGTGGGAGAGGGAGAAGCAGACTCCCCATTGAGCAGGGAGCCCGATGTGGGGCTCGATCCCAGGACCCTGGGATCACGACCTGAGCCGAAGGCAGACACTTAATGACTGAGCCACCCAGGCGCCCCGAGGAGTCACAACTTTTCAGATCTTTGTACTGTTGGGTTACCTTTAGGGGTGAACACGCAACTCTATTTCAAGTAGTCAGTAAACTCACTTGAGTAAAATAATGATGGCTGGCCCTGCTCTCCACGAAAAGAGAATCAACACTTCAGTGCATCCTAGGTGTTAGATGCAGAGCGCATGCAAGTTGAAGGTGCATAAAAGCATTTCACCTGGGGGCGCCTGGCTGGCTCAGTCGGAAGAGCACGCGACTCTTGATCTCAGGGCCGTGGGTTTGAGCCCCACACTGGGTGTAGGGATTACTAAAAGGAATAAAAACTTAAAAAAATAAAAGCATTCTACCTGGAATTTTTTTAAAATTATTTTTATTATTTGTCAGAGAGATTGAGAGTATAAGCAGGGGGAACAGCAGAGGGAGAGAAGCAGGCTCCCCGCTGAGCAGGGCGCCCGATGTGGGACTCGAACCCAGGACCCTGAGATCATGACCTGAGCCGAAGGCAGATGCTTCACCGAGCCACCCAGGCGCCCCTCTACCTGGAATTTAACACATTTATCACCCAGAAAAGGAACTGGGGGGGGTACTACTTTTTCTGTATTCTCCTAGTAATCTCTAAAGGAATGATGTCTTTTTTTTTTAAGATTTTATTTATTTGAGAGTGAGAGTGAGTGCACAAGCAGAGGGAGAGGCAGACTCCCCTGTGGGGCTCGATCCCAGGACCCCGGGATCGTGACCTGAGCTGGAGGCAGACACTTCACCCACTGAGCCACCCAGGCGCCCTGGAATGATGTCTTTTTTAATATATTCCTATCTATTCCCATAGTAACAACTACCATGTGTGACACGTTGGGCAGTGGGCACAAGGGCAGGTGCTCACTGTACATTCTATCTAATAATTTTAAGCCTCAGTTGCCTCCTAGTTTTTTTTTTTAAGGTGATAAAGCTACATTGGGTAGATTGCTTGAGCTTGTGTAGTACTTTTGTTTTTTTTTTTAAGATTTTATTTATTTATTTATTTATTTGAGAGACAGAGAGAGAGAGAGAAACAGCATGAGAGGGGGGAGGGTCAGAGGGAGAAGCAGGCTCCCCGCTGAGCCGGGAGCCCGATGCGGGGCTTGACCCCAGGACCCCAGGATCATGACCTGAGCTGAAGACAGTCACTTAACCAACTGAGCCACCCAGGCGCCCCCTGTGTAGTACTGTTAAAAAAAAAAGCAAAGAAAGCCCTTGATTTTACTTTTTGGTTGTTTTTATTATGCACTACATTAATACACTGCATAACCTTCTAGAAGGGGTAGATGAGTATGACTGAGTTATTTTTCATCAATCGGGAAAATGCTTCCTTAATCGATATTCTCCAAACCCTGAAAAACAGAATAAAAAGGAAAATGTGAGAATTCTGTTGCGGCCACAAATGTACAAATGCAGGCATACTTCAGAGATACTGTGGGGCAAGTTCCAGACCCCTGCATTGTAAAAAGGTGACGGAATGGGTTTGGTTGCCCGGTGCATAGAAAAGTTGTGTTTGCACGATACTGCAGTCTGTTAAGTGTGCAACAGCATACGTCTACAAAACAACCTGCACACCTTAATTTCAAAATGCCTTAGTGCTAAAAAATGCAAAGCATCATCTGCTCAACCTTGCCAGTAGACAAGACAATGCAAATTAATTAACACTGTTAAGACGTCTGACCAAACATTACCAGAACCCATCTCAACCCTGACGGATGTCTAGCAGCAGAGCCACCTTACCTTTGACACATAGTAACGATTAACTCCAGAGACTCGCCTATCTCTTTGCATCAAACTCCATTGATATGGATAATAGGCAACCCTTTTTTCCTACAATTAAAAGAAATCATTATTGCACAATGTTTAAGAAAATGAGTGACCCAATAGAGGGCTACCAGAACTTGTAAGTGACATTCTAGAAAAATGGAATCATCACTGAAACAAAAACCAAATTAAGACCAGATCCTAAGTAAAATCGGACCATTAAGCTTCAAAATTAAGATGGTAACCATGAGTTCTTACACTTCCTATTTTAACCAGCATCTGTTGTTGTTTTTTTCCTTCCTCCTTCCCTCCCCCCTCCGCCCCCACACTTATTTTAAAGACAGGACTACTTATTTCCTTTTGGGAAGGAGAGAAGAAACAATAGCAGTAGATCACACGTGAAGAACAATCACAAAACCAGAAGGCAAATACATTATACCCTGTACTCTAGAGACAACGTGAAGGGCTAGGAGAAGAGGGAAATTACAATCCTGATGTGAAAAGCAGGATCTTGCGGTAAATTCCTAAAGGCTTGGGGAAAAAAGGGGGGGATAAAAAATGTCAAAGTAAAAACTTAATTAAGGGTAGGGAGGTGAACAACCGAAAAGGTACCAAGATGTGGACGCGAGAAATTACAGTCAAAAGATGAGCGATCCGAGGGAGTGGGGGCAACACTAAAGCGACGCCCAGGAGTTTGGGCCCACCTTCTAATCTACCTTGCCAGCCCCCGAACCTACTCCGCCCTCCTGCCCACTCTTCACCCAACAACTAGCTGCTTCTGGCTAGAGCAGAATGTGGTTTCCGTGGGGTTTCGTTCCGCAAGCCTCTGCTTTTAGGCAACACGAAGAAAGGAGGGGGGCGACCCCGGTGTCCCCCAGGTGGGAGAGCGGCTCCGGACCCCAGCGGCCTCCCACCGCCCGTTCTGTAACGCCCGTCCGCCGGGTCAGCCGTCGCGCCCGAGAGGCCGCCTCACCTTGCCCCCGTTACTGAACCTGTGGATGTACGCCGTGGCTATGCCGGGGATGACCAGGCACACGGCCATGACGCCGATCCCAGGCAGGATCTCGAACCACATCGCAGCGCGGTTGCCAGAGCCAAGCCCCTGCCTGCGCCGCCCGGTAAAGGTGACCCGGCCTCGGCCCCGCTTCCCAGTGGGCTCCGCGGCAGCCGGCCCGCGGGGCGGGGCCACGCACGCCTCGGGACGAAGCGACGGGGGCCGGCTGGGCTCAGGAGTGGCGCGCACTCGCACCCTCGCACGCTTGCGCTCCCGCTGGCCGCTTTGGGCCTCCCCTTTCGCCGCGACTGACGACCGAGCGCACGACGTGCGGTGACGTGAAGAGGCCCCGCGCGGCCGAGCTCGCCGCAGCCTTCCGGGGCTCGGGACTCCAAAATGGCAGAGCGACTTTCTCCGGGCAAGACGGCAGAGCAGGTGTGCACCTTCCTCTTCAAAAAGCCCGGGGGGCGCAAAGGGGCGGCAGGCCGCAGAAAGCGCCGGGTGTGCGACCAGGAGCCCGGAGACAGCAACAGCAGCAGCGACGAAGGCAGCACCGTGGTTCGCCCGGAGAAGAAGCGGGCCGTCCACAATCCGATGATACAGAAGACTCGTGGCAGTGGTAAACAGAAGGCGGCCTACGGCGACTTGAGCAGCGAGGAGGAGGAGGAGAACGAGCCCGAGAGTCTTGGCGTGGTGTACAAGTCCACCCGCTCAGCAAAACCCGTGGGACCGGAGGATATGGGGGCGACTGCTGTCTACGAGCTAGACACAGAGAAGGAGCGTGACGCACAAGCCATCTTTGAGCGCAGCCAGAAGATCCAGGAGGAGCTGAGGGGCAAGGAAGATGACAAGATCTATCGGGGAATCAATAATTATCAGAAATACATGAAGCCCAAGGATACGTCTATGGGCAATGCTTCCTCCGGGATGGTGAGGAAGGGCCCCATCCGAGCTCCCGAGCATCTGCGTGCCACCGTGCGCTGGGATTACCAGCCCGACATTTGTAAGGACTACAAGGAGACTGGCTTTTGCGGCTTCGGAGACAGCTGCAAGTTCCTCCATGACCGTTCAGATTACAAACATGGGTGGCAGATCGAACGTGAGCTTGATGAGGGTCGCTATGGTGTCTATGAGGACGAAAACTATGAAGTGGGAAGCGATGATGAGGAAATACCATTCAAGTGTTTCATCTGTCGCCAGACCTTCCAGAATCCAGTTGTCACCAAGTGCAGGCATTATTTCTGCGAGAGCTGTGCGCTACAGCATTTCCGCACCTCCCCTCGCTGCTATGTCTGTGACCAGCAGACCAATGGCGTCTTCAATCCAGCGAAAGAATTGATTGCTAAATTGGAGAAGCATCGAGCTGCAGAAGAGGGTGGTGCTTCCGATTTCCCAGAAGACCCCGATGAGGGTCCAATCCCCATCACTTAGTTTTCCTATTATTCTCACACCTCAAAATAAATCCTTTTGTTGTTTGGAAATCTTAATTCGTCGTGTCCTTCCTTTCTAGGGAAAGTGAAAGGAAAAGGCGGGTGGTGAAATAGGGTCCTGGATGGATGGCTTGTCAAAGCCTCGAGGTAGGTACAGTCTGGATTTTTACCTGTGATGTATGCTGCCTGAGTGTAACATAACTTTTCAGAACCCTTTGGCATAAATTCCGAGGATGGGAGAAGTTTGAGAAAAGAGCTAGAATTTGCTTGAAGTAAAGCTGTAATGAAAGCAAGAACTGAATCTATTGTATCACGTTTCTGTATCACTTAATAGTATACAAAGTTACCTCCATGCATGAGCTCTGTTGGAAGCCTGTACTACTTCAAAATCTGCCCCAGCCAAGCTGTGTGTCTGGGGGGCGGGGTGTGAGTGGGAGAGTTGGGTGGGGGAGCTGGTAGCTAGCACCAGAGTGCACCGATGGGAAATGGTCCTTGCTCTCTTTAAAGCACCATAGGTGGGCTCCTGGGTGGCTCATTTTGTTAAGCGTCTGCCTTTCGCTCAGGTCATGATCTCAGGGTCCTGGGATCCAGTCCTACGATTGGCTCCCTGCTCCTCAGGGAGTCTGCTTCTCCCTCTGCCCCAACCCCCACTCATTCTCTCAGTCTTGCTCTCTCAAATAAATCTTTAAAAAAAATAATAAAGCACCAAAGGTAACTCCCTTTCCACGAATGATTGAAATGGCTTATGCTGGGGCGCCTGGGTGGCTCAGTTGGTTAAGCCACTGCCTTCGGCTCAGGTCATGATCCCAGGGTCCTGGGATCGAGCCCCGCATCGGGCTCCCTGCTCCGCGGGAAGCCTGCTTCTCCCTCTCCCACTCCCCCTGCTTGTGTTCCCTCTCTCGCTGTCTCTCTCTGTGTCAAATAAATACATAAAATCTTTAAAAAAAAATGGCTTATGCTGTGCTGTCCAGCATGATAGCCACTAGCTTCATATGGCAGTTGAGTACCCAAAATATGGCTGGTAGCCACTATATCGGACAATGCAGTACTAGACTGAACTTGTAGGCCAAGTTCAGAGGACGAAAACCTAACATTTTATAATCCGCTATCTGAAACTGTGTTCTCACAGACTGTAAAAGAGCTGATCATGTTAATCTATGTACCTGTCTTCCCTACTAGTTTGGAAAGTCCTCAGTGACTAACCCAGTGCTTGGCATATAATAAACAATAAATAAACCCAGAGGTGTTTGGAAAGGGATATTGGGGTCAAAGCCTTGAATCCAGGCTGAGGAGCTTTGACTATATTCTGTAGGTAATGAGATAACAGAGGTATGGGTAGGGGAACACAGTCAGACTTTCTCTCCTTTTTTTTTTAAAGTTACTGTGGTTGCAGGCTATTGGATAGATTACAGGAAGATGGAAGACGAGAGGCAGAGAGGCCAGTTAGACCGAATGATGAATAAATTTTCACTGATCTACTTAGTATTTGTGCTGATCCCAGAAAACAGATGCAGTAGTAAGTTGTGGGTTAGAGTTTTTTAATTCACACTCATTAATCCATTCAAATATATTTGAGCACCTACTCTGTGTCAGGCACTGTGCTTGGCTTAGGGGATATTAGCAAACAAGAAAGACCCAGCCCCTGTCTTGATGGAGCTAGACATCAAACAGTGACAGATGTGAGAAAGAATAGGTGCCTGAGGGGCTCAGTTGGTTAAGTGTCGGACTCTTGATTTTGGCTCAGGTCATGATCTCAGGGTCGTGAGATGGAACCCCATGTCAGGCTCCATGCTCAACGGGGAGTCTGCTTGAGATTCTCTCCCTCTGCCCCTCCCCCTGCCTCTAAAATAGATAAATCTCTTTTTTTTAAGATTTTATTTATTTGGGGCTCCTGGGTGGCTCAGTTGGTTAAGCGACTGCCTTCGGCTCAGGTCATGATCCCAGAGTCCCAGGATCGAGTCCCACATCGGGCTCCCTGCTCAGCAGGGAGTCTGCTTCTCCCTCTGACCCTCTGACCCTCTTCCCTCTCGTGCTCTCTGTCTCTCATTCTCTCTCTCTCAAATAAATAAATAAAATCTTTAAATAAAAAAGGTTTTATTTATTTGACAGAGAGAGACCCAGTGAGAGAGGGAACACAAGCAGGGGGAGTGGGAGAGGGAGTAGCAGGCTTCCCGTGGAGCAGGGAGCCGGATGCGGGGCTCGATCCCAGGACCCTGGGATCATGACCTGAGCCGAAAGCAGACGCTTAACGACTGAGCCACCCAGGCGCCCCAATAAATAAATCTTTAAAAAAAGGGGGGGGTGACAGATGTGATGAGTACAAGGGAAAAAGTGCACTGGGTTGTTGATCTCTCAGGGTTAACCCAATCCCAGCCTTGGAGGAATTCAGAATCGTCAATTTATTTGATACAAAGTGATGCATTTTATAAGAGAATGTATAAAGTACGTGGGGATACATGAGACGCCTATTGGGAAAGGCCTGAAAGAAAGCATCACCTGGGAAACAGCACTTAAGGGATGGGACAAAGCAACAGCCAACCAGGGAACAGGACCCTGCGGAGACAGAGAAAGAGGAGCGTACACTGCCATGGAAGGCAAAGGAAGGAAGTCTTCCAAAAAGTGTCACGAAAGAAGTACAGCTATGAGGTGCAAAAGTATCATATATATATTTATTTATTTATTTTTATTATTATTATTATTTTGCTGTTCCTGAGAATTTATATTCAGAAAGTTAAGCTGATGGAAAGGGTCCAGGAGAAAAAGATGAAAGAGAAAGAATGCTGCTGGCGACTAAGCTCCAGAACTGACAAGGGATGGGATTAAAGGCACAGATCAAGAAGTTAGCTGTCAAGAGCTGAGAGAAAGAATAGGAGAAAGCTGACATTTGTCTACTACTCCACGTGTTTTTTAAAATTTTTTAAAGATTTTATTTACTTATTTGACAGAGAGCACAAGCAGGGGGAGCAGCAGAGGGAGAGGGAGAAGCAGACTCCCCGCTGAGCAGGGAGCCTGACGCGGGACTCGATCCCAGGACCCCGGGATCATGACCTGAGCCGAAGGCAGATGCTTAACCATCTAAGCCACCCAGGTGCCCCAGCTCCACATGTTTTAATACCTGCCTCTGAATCTTAAGAGTGTACAGGATTAAAAAAAATAAAGTATACAAGATATATGCAAATGAGCATTATTCTTAGGATCCACAACATTCAGCATTCTTTTTTTTTTTAAGATTTTATTTATTCATTTGAGAGAGAGAGCACATGAGAGGGGGAAGGGTCAGAGGGGGAAGCAGACTCCCTGCTGAGTGGGGAGCCCGATGCAGGACTTGATTCTGGGACTCTGGGATCATGACCTGAGCCGAAGGCAGTCAGTTGGGCATCTGACTTTTGATTTTGGCTCAGGTCATGATCTCGGGGTCCTGGGATCCAGCCCTGTGTCAGGCTCTGTGCTCAGCACACAGTCTGCTTGGATTCTCTCTCTCCCTCTCCCTCTGCCCCTCCCCCTCCACTCTCTCTCCCCCCCACAAAAGTAAATAAATCTTTTTTTTTTTTTTTAAAGGGACTGGGACACCTGGGTGGCTCAGTCAGTTAAGCGTCTGCCTTCGACTCAGGTCATGATCCCAGGGTCCTGGGATCGAGTCCCACATCGGGCTCCTTGCTCAGTGGGGAGTCTTCTTCTCCCTCTGCCTTCCGCGTGTGCTCTCTCTCTTTCTCTCTGACAAATAAATAAAATCTTTAAAAAATATAAAAAAGGGACCATAATCACAAAAGCACACA